TCTTAAAGCAAAACTGCTTTATGTAGGTCATTTGGATTCTGATTCCTTTCTGGTAAGAAAGAAACCCAGCTGGACCTCGTCAGCTGCAGCCTGCATGGTCAGTTCATAGTTTTTCAGATCCAGGTGGGTGTGTGAGATGTTGAGAGAATCTCCTTCGTACTTTAGTGTCCATGAAGTTTTACTAAATTGTCAGGTAAACTGACCTTTCTGCTTCAGCCACATGATGGGAGTTTTACTGAAAATATTCTTGGAGTGGAGGTGTCTTTTTACAAGGTTGTAAAATGTGAGCCTTCTGGCGCCTGCCTCTCAGGTGACTCCAAGAGAAGCAATTCTGGAAATTCAATAGCCAGGGAAGGAAGCACATGACCAGGGACTTCAGCTTGAAATCAAACCCTGGTGCATTTGGGACTAGTTATTTGGCGCCCTTCCGGAGAGCCAGGCCCAACTTTTCAATAATGAGACTGTAATCCAGTCATCTGTGAGATTTGATGGTTTACTTTTCAGTTGGGGAAAGGAATGTTAGTCAGTTTGCCTGAACTGGTTGTGCCTTCTGGAGAGAGCCGGAGCTCTGCTGACTCTTTGGAACTCTTGCGCAGGCTCATTTCCCTTGGCCAGATAGAGGGAAGCCTTATTTGCCTTTTAAGTCTTTCAGTGTTGGGGTGTTTTCCCCTTAAAGTTGCCTGTGACAGAATGGGAGCAAGACATGCCTTTAGCAATGAAATAAATGAAAAATGATCAGGGAAATTAAATCAACATATGCATGCATTCCTTGCCCCAAGCATGAATGCAGCAAAAACCTAATATTTAGAACTGAACAAAGGTGTACCTTTGCATCATCTATGGGAAAGGAGTAACTGTCTAAGCAAACTACAAGCATATGCAGCCCTGCCTCAGTTGTGTCAAGCCTGAGGGACACAGGGGTGAGTAGGCCCCAGAGACTGCCCCACCCTGACCAGTGGCTGGGCCCTGCGGGGTAGGGGCATATACGGTAGTCTTGTTACAAATGGTGTCACTCTTCCTCTGTTACATAAGTCCTGAGATTTGTGCATCAGCGTACAGTGGTGAACTTCCAAAGTCATGGTTCTGCTCCAGCTCCACCCTTTGAAGGGTCAGAGACAGACACACATACATACACATGCACGCACGTGCTCCCCTCTCTCTTTTTCTCTAACATACAGAAGGTGGGAAAGTAACAGTCAGTGCTCCACAAAATGGGGTCTCATAACTCTGAACATCAGTATCTCCTGGGAACTTGTTATAAATAAAAATAATTCTGAGCCCCACCTAGACCTACTGAATCAGAATCTGGGAATGGGAGGAGAGTGGAAAAGCGATCTGTTTTTTATGAACTTTCCAGGTGATTCTGATCCCTACCCAAGTTTAAGAGGTGAGGACCCAGGTGACTCGGGTAACTTCTAACTTTCTGGAAGATGACTAAATTTTACCAAATGATAATGAAAATCTAATTCTAAAATCTAAACAACATAAACTTTTAAGGTACTAAGCTCTGTACGTTATTCATAAATTATCTAAATTCTTCCTAATCTCAGAAATCGATTATTGTAGTGGTTTTCCCAAGGCTTTCTCATTATTTCTCTGGGGTGTCACTGGCATTGACTTCCACTAAGAAAAGATCTCATGTCAAATGACTTTGGTTACAAGTGGATAAAAACAATGTAAAACAAACAAAGTTTTCCTGCAGAACTCTTCTGAGTCTATATTATGCTGACACTTGTTTTTAATCTTCAAGAAAGGATATAGAATTTTTCATCATGGGAGACTTTTTTCAAGGAACACATCACAGAACTGATGTTCTACAGATCACCATTAAAGTTATCCATGATTTGCCTGAGCAGCTTCCTGATTCATTATAAGAATGTTCCCCTAAAGAGAAAAATGAAACATACCTTAAGTGCCTGGAAAGAAAGAATCTGTCTTTTGAAAAATACACACCCAGGCCGGGCATGGTGGCTCATGCCTGTAATCCCAACACTTTGGGAGGCTGAGGAGGGTGGATCACGTCAGGAGTTTGAGACCAGCGTGACCAACATGGTGAAACCCCATCTCTACTAAAAATATAAAAAATTAGCCAGGCATGGTGGCACATGCCTGTAATTCTAGCTACTCAGGAGGCTGAGGCAGGAGAATTGCTTGAACCCAGGAGGCGGAGGTTGCAGTGAGCCGAGATCATGCCATTGCAGTCCAGCCTGGGCAACGGAGCAAGACTCCATCTCAAAAAAAGAAAAGAAAAAAAAAACACACATACACACCCAAGTTTTACTTTTGAAATCCTAAGGTTTGGTTTTGAAAACCCCAGGCACTAAGGAAATGATATGTTTTAAAATCCTAAAGGTTAAAGAATTAATATTCTAAACTTCAAATTTTTGAACAATCATGTTATTGGCAAATACATAAAAATAAACATATGACCAGGTCCACTGTTATTGCCCTTTATCCAATGGAAATACAATCAAGCATCACTCTTAGCAGAAGACTACCAGGCACTTGTAGGGACACAAGAAGTGATAATAAAAACTATTTATTGAATGCTTGCTACAGAACAGATGCTCTTCTAAGCACTGTGTAATAATTTTATCTTGAGAGCAATCCTGTAGTTATAATCATTACCTCTTCTTACGGATATGGAAGACATGACTCCGTTTCCTAATTATCCAGGGTCACATCACAAGTGTGGGGAAGGCAGGACTTATAACCTCAGTCCACAGCCCATGCTCTTAACCACAATGCTGTGCTCCTCAAACCTGCCACTGGACAGCTTGGAATGTAGCGGGAGAACAAAGGCAATCAAAAGATAAACTAGCAATGCAAGACAGGACATGGGGAGGGCCAAACAAATGGGCCGCAGACACATGTGGGCAGAAAGGATAGTGGAGTTGTAGCAGCTCTCGGGGCCCTCGGTATAACTGGTTCTGGGACATGTTCCATCAGGATGTTTTTCGGAGGCAAATCGTAGCTACTGACTTGATTTTATAAAGAGATTTGAGAAAGCACGAATCTGTTGTGCTTTGCCACAGTTGACACTGAGCTTCAGGAGCATTATTGTCTTTTATAAAGGGATGTAAGTGTCCCTTGCATGCCTAGACTAAAATGAGGTTGGAGCTTCATTTGGCAAAGACGTTTGGATTCTGATTGCAAGTGAACACTGTGCCCGACGCTGAAGAAGAAAAAATGGCTTAAGGTGTGCCTCTGCCCTTGGAGCCCACAGTGCAGTTAGGGAAATAAGATGGTATGTTACTTTATTTATTCCTACCTTTCCCCAGAGTGGGTAGAAGCCCAGCGATAAGATGTTATCATAAGTCCTTTTGTTATTCAGACCCTATATAAATACTTTTAAATGTCAGGTGTTGATATAAAAATGTTTTGGTCTTCTGAAACTTGGAAATCTAAGCCAGGGTTCGAGGGCACAGCCATTGTGCTAAGTAATGTCAGCCACAGCTACTGGCCAAGAACAGATTTTGTCCTGTACCGCGTGTGATTTTACCCTGTGCCACTTGGCTTTGCATAAGGTGCCAGCCCTGTTGGGCCTGTGAGAGACTGAGACTGAATGGATGGCTCCTAAGATCCTGGGTTGTAGGACTTGCAGTCTTCATCACAATAGCAGACACCCGTTATACTTAGATTATACTTAGTTGAAGGCCTTTAAACTAAGTATTTTTAAAAACCCTTTGTGGTTTTTTTGTTTGTTTGTTTTTTGAGACAGAGTTTCGCTATGTCGCCCACGCTGAGTGCACTGACATGATTTCAGCTCACTGCAACTTCCACCTTCCAGGTTCAAGCGATTCTCCTGCCTCAGCCTCCCGAGTAGCTGGGACTACAGGCATGCCCAGCTAATTTTTTTTTTTCGTATTTTTAGTAGAGACGGGGTTTCACTGTGTTAGCCAGGATGGTCTCGATCTCCTGACCTAGTAATCCACCTCCCAAAGTGCTGGGATTACAGGCGTGAGCCACACGCCCAGCTGAGTTTTGTTTCGATCATGTTTATTGCAATTATTTTGTGGCGAGATACAGTCAGGTACGTTAGCAGCTGCTCATTTGTGATGTATCCGATGCCAGATGGCACGTTACCAGGATATAACCTGGATTGTCTGTACAGACATGGTCTGTGGGGAAATCCTAATAAGACGGAGGCACAGGTAGGATGGAGGTGAAGAGTATAGACTCCGGAGTTGCGAAGAGCTGAATCCGAATCCTGGCGGGGCCTTTTCCTTGCATTGAGACTTTGGGCATGTTATGTAATCTCTCTCATCTCTCAGTTCCCACATCTGTGAAAGTGATTATTATAACACCTATCCCATAGGGCTGTTGTGAGAGTTAAATGGAGTCATTCGTGTAAAACATTTCTGTTAGCTGTTAATTTTTTAAAGATTATTACTGCTAAGAAGGGGTTAGCAACCACTGAAATCACGCCTGTGCTAGAGGAAGCTGCTACAGTCTCTACCTGAGCCGGTGGTAAATTGATGGTTGACACCTTCCCATTTTCACAGCAAAATGAGGATTCTGAATGCCACATCTTGTCACTGAGGTTCATGATCAAGTAGATCAACTAGCATTGCTCCTTCCCTTCTAGCCTGTGACTGTGACCCCAGAGGCATTGAGACGCCACAGTGTGACCAGTCCACGGGCCAGTGTGTCTGCGTGGAGGGTGTCGAGGGTCCACGCTGTGACAAGTGCACGCGAGGGTACTCAGGGGTCTTCCCTGACTGCACACCCTGCCACCAGTGCTTTGCTCTCTGGGATGTGATCATTGCCGAGCTGACCAACAGGACACACAGATTCCTGGAGAAAGCCAAGGCCTTGAAGATCAGTGGTGTGATCGGGCCATACCGGGAGACTGTGGACTTGGTGGAGAAGAAAGTCAGTGAGATAAAAGACATCCTGGCGCAGAGCCCGGCAGCAGAGCCGCTGAAAAACATTGGGAATCTCTTTGAGGAAGCAGAGTAAGTAGCTAATGAGCCGGAGTAACAACTCACAGTATTTTCCAGCTTTTTGAATAAACAGCAAAGATTTCCTGGCATGGTGCTTCCATCAGAAGGTTTGGTTAGTCCTGTGGGTGAAAACAGATTCTGGGTCATTTATTTTCCAGCAGTCTTGACTGGGGCATTTGGGTCAGTGAATGCTGGCACATCCGTGGGGACCAGCCTTCTGGAGGCTGCAGTGCAGAACATGCAAGCATTATATTCAGTGCTCCTCCTTGCAAATCATGTTCTAAGTGAGTAAAATGGAAGGAATGCTGGATTTAGAAGACAGAGATCCATAACTGAGTGCTGGCTCTGATGCCAGGCTTGTGAACGTGTGTGACTCAATAACTGAGCTTGTATTTTCTGTCCTGTGGAGAAGGGGTAGGATGATATATGTCATTACCTTACGGAGAAATGAAAGGATTGATATATAAAATGACAACAGGATTGCAAAAAAATTATAAATTTTTAAGTATTGCTACTATGGGGGAAATTCCATGACCTCAAATAAGACTCCTTACTTCAAGTTTTTTCTGCTTCTCCACCATTGGTCCACCAGACCAGTGCTTCATTTATCTAGTTACAACAATGCCTCCACGCTTAAAGTCCTCATCCCACCTACTCTGGGTAATCATCCTTCTGATTGGACAGTGTTTATTTTGTTAGAGGAAGCCTAGAGAATGGAGCTGAGTGATGCTGAACTTGCAAGGATCATTTTTCTACCCTTTCTCCTAGCCTCCCTTCTCTTGCCCCTAAACTCCTTTAGCCAAAAAGGACCCCCAAAAACAGCACACTAAGACCTGAGTGGTAAAGGACAGAAAAAGGAAAGGCTGTGAAGCATCTGTGCTTCCCTAGATGCTATGGTTTTTTCATTCAGTCTCACAACTAGACCTGAGGGGACCGCTTCACAGTTAAATCCTTACATTGAGGTGTTTATATTACAAAATGACAGTAACATTTTTGTGTGTGTGATGATGTAATATTGGGGTTTAGGGGTTCAGGGTGCCCTTAGCTTCCCTGAGAGGACGTTTCTTCAGGTTCTAGCCCTCTTAAGAATGAGAGAGGAGACCATGGCGCAGGGCGCAGGGCGCAGTAAGTGCCAGACTCTAAAGTGTTTGTAGAAAGTGATTTATTTAGAGAAAGAAACAGCTCTCACACTGAGTGAGAGAATCCAGAAAGATGGAATCCTGGAGAGGAAAGCAGCTTCCACACTGAGTGGAAGGGAATAGAGAGAGAGATGGAGTTTAGGAGGGAAGACAGGCTTCCATGAGAGAGTGTGGAAGGGAACTCCAGAGGGGAAATCCAGGAAAGAGAAAAACAGCCTCCACAAGAGTGTTCGTGGAAGGGGATCCAAACATGGAGTGTGAAGGGGTGTGGAAGAAGGGGACTTTTAACCTGGGAGGAACCCCCACCTTGTCCAAGACCCCAGGCCAATGAAAGGAGTTCCTTAGAACTTCTGCTGGAGTGACTGACTCTTAGTTTCTTCCTGCACCCACGAAATTTAAACATAAACCATTAAGTCTCCCAGATGGAGAAAGATGGGTGTGGGGCATGGTGCTAGGAAGTTCTTGCCCTTAAAGCTATGCCCCCTTGTGGACTCAGAAAGAGAACACCTTACTCAATGAGACTTTAATCAGCATCTCTAAAAAGTCAGAAGGACTTTTCATCTCATACCATGCATGAGTAGCAGAGAACAGCAGACATTAGCTCAAGTGACTTGAAGGAGGTCCTTCCTAGACCTAGATTTAAAGTAACTGGCTCTTGACGTCAAGCCTCAGGTTTTATGCTCAAGACCATGTAGCTGGCCAGAGTGTTAGGAAATGTCTGCTGTAGGGTGACAATGCATTTAATGAGGCATTTTACCTCACTGAAAAGACTAAGCCTCCTAATGTGCAGAAATCACAGTTTTGGCAGGCCATGGTCCAAATGCAAGCCCATTTAGGAAATGATTCTTGGCCTGGGTCTTACTCACCTCTGGGAGGAAAAAAAAAAAATCTGTGTCCTTGAGAGCCTGCCAGGAGAGAGATTACATTCCCAAAACAGCTCTGTTTCTGCCCTCACTATTCATTTAACTAGACAGATTATAATAATCACAGGAAAACTAGTTCCATTACTCCTTTTCTCAACATACTATCCAAGGATACATGTTGTAGGAACCAGAGTGGCCCTATTTTAAAATATGATGTTAGATTTGCTTGTTTAAAAAAAAAATGTAACATTTTATGAGGCCTGAGAAGAAATTAAAACCTTCTATGAGTCAACTGATTAATAAAAGCAAAGCACTGAAAAAAGAAACTATGTATATTATCCTCAGGAAAAAAGGCACTGAAATATAACTTAATCTACTATTTTAAACAATCCCTTTAAGTACTTTTTGTTTGAATTGGGCTACGGTTTTTTCTCAGCCTTACACAGCACTTTTCTAATGGCTCCCAACCTTTCAGCATCTTTACATTTTTCTGATTTTTTATACTAGTGTATCCCTGAGAAGACAATTACATTCAATTAGGTGAACCAATAATACCCAGAGGTAAAGTCTGCTGAAATACTACTTTATGATACACATACAACCCCATCCACAGCCACCTAGAGCACACGCACGTGCACACACAGACACAGAGTGTACACAATAATATACAAATAGATGTTGAAAGTACAGCTTGGTAGATTTGAAGATACAAAACAAAATGCAGTTTAGATTCCAAATGAAATACTGTGAAAACTGAATGTATTTTTTCATTCTCGGTAGATGCTACTTCCTTATAAAAAATAAAAAGGCTGGTAACAGATGAAGGAGGGGCTTCTCTGATGGAAGAGAGGTGTATGAAAGCTGATCTTGGTGGCTGTTGTCTTTGTGGCAGGCTATAGGGCTTCCTCTCTGCATGTTCCATCTTGAAGGAGATCCCCGAGGCTTAGGGAAGAATGTTTTGGGTTGGTGGCTGGGAGGCCTAATTGTACACTGGAGTCATTTATGTCTTGAGTTTTCACAATTGTAAGCGCTCAAAGCTGCTTGTGAATGGAGCTGGACCTCCACACACTGACCTGTGCTCATGTTACAGCAGAAATTTGGAATTCCTCAAATGGTTTGTCTGCTGCAACTCAGCTGAGTGGTACTTCTGTGTTTCTCTTAAAAGTCTCTGAACAAAGAAAAATTGTTAGATTTAATGCAATCTGTTATGATAAGGAAAATAAAACAAGCACTTAGAGATAAAATGTTACAAATTACTGAATTGGTTTGAAATTTGTAATGGATACAGTACTAGTAGAAAATATGAAATGTAAGAGTTCTCCCTTGGTTTTATTTTATGTAGGTAAGCTTAACTTTCTCTTTACAGGAAACTGACTAAAGATGTTACAGAAATGATGGCTCAAGTAGAAGTGAAATTGTCTGACACAACCTCCCAGAGCAACAGCACAACTAAAGAACTGGATTCTCTACAGACAGAAGCTGAAAGCCTAGAAAACACTGTGAAAGAACTTGCTGAACAACTGGAATTTATCAAAAACTCAGATATTCGGGGTGAGCATTTTTTGGTGCAAATACTCAGTCCCAGACAATGGATTTAACATTCTGTCTAACCTTTTAATGTAACACTTTTGCAAAGATTTTCTAATAAATTTTAAAACTTTTGCTCATCCAGTTTCTGGATCAAAGTCCCCATTTTCCAGAGTGGGACTTGGGCACAGAGAACCTAAGAGACATAGCAAAGGTCCCACAGAGTGAGTGGCAATAGTTGTATTCAAATGGTATCCACTTCCTGGTTTTTTCTCCAGTTGGTAGTTTAATCCTGGCCTCTTCTTGGCAGCGAATTCTTTGGGATAGTTAAGGCATTAATACTTCTGCAAATCCTTTCACATTCAAGAATGCTGCTTAGTCAGAAAAAACATTTTTGCAAATCACTATTGATATCATACATACCTTATAGGATCCTCAGCAAAAAGTGAATGTGGAAATATGTTACATCATTCTGTCCTACTATCCATGCTGTTTCATGCACGACTGCTTTTGGACTAGATTCCTAAAGCTAAAACATGTCATGCTGTTATAAATAATACCGTCATCCCTTGGTATCCATGGGGTGGACCCACTGCAGAAACCAAAATCCACAGATGCTCAAGTCTGTTATATACAATGGCATAGTATTTGCATATAAACTATGCACACACTCCTGTATGCTTTTCTTTGTTTTTTAAAGAGACGGGCTCTTGCTACATTGCTCAGGCTAGTCTTGAACTTTTGGTCTCAAGTGATCCTCCTGTCTCAGCCTCCTGAACAGCTGAGATTATAGAGCTGAACCATCACACCCAGCTTTGCTATTCCTCCAGTATACTTTAAAATCTCTAGATTACTTAAAATATATAATATGATGTAAATGCTATGCAAATAGTTGTTATACTTTGTTTAGGAAATGACCAAAAAAAAAAGTCTGTACACATTCAATACAGACACAACCATCAGTCTTCCAAATGCTTTCCATTCACAGTTGGTTGAATACATATATGTGGAATCTACAAATATGGAGGGCTACTATATTAGTCATTTGAGTGGACCTGAATAAAGGATTGAGAAAAGTCATCTGGTCAATCTTCAGGCTGCCTGACACCAACTATTTATGAAGAACTGGATGTTTGCTTGTGTATAGAAACAAGATTGCATGATTTTCTTAATTTTTCACTTTTCACCCAGATGTTTGCATACTCCAGAGCCTGGAGTAGGTGCTAATGAGACAAAACATATTCAGTGCTCATGAAAAGAAAACTGTAATTCACATTTTTTCTTGAATTTTATAGTAAATTTAGGACCTGAAGGCATCAGATATAGACACTGCTTGGGGACAAAGCCTAATACAATGAGGTTAACTGTGGGCGATTTCTTTTCCTACCCTAGGTGCCTTGGATAGCATTACCAAGTATTTCCAGATGTCTCTTGAGGCGGAGGAGAGGGTGAATGCCTCCACCATAGAACCCAACAGCACTGTGGAGCAGTCAGCCCTCATGAGAGACAGAGTAGAAGATGTGATGATGGAGAGAGAGTCCCAGTTCAAGGAAAAACAAGAGGAGCAGGCTCGCCTCCTTGATGAACTGGCAGGCAAGCTGCAAAGCCTAGACCTTTCAGCTGCTGCCGAAATGGTAAGGTCTGGGGGTTTGTCTTTACTACTCTGGTGCTGAGGAAAAAAAACAACAAGCTTTCTCTTTGTTATAGTTTGCAAATGAATCAGCAGGAGTGAAACTTCTAGGCTGAGGTCTCTGGACCAGGGAAGGGGGTATCTGTAACAAAGCCAGATTAAAAACAGCTTAGTATCGGTTTCCAGCCTTCCCCTCTTCTGTTTCTCTGTGGTCCTCAACTAAAGAATGAATCATGACTGTGTGCCATACTGTTTTATCTACTCAGTGACATCTCGCTGAAACTTGATCCTTTTTACACTGTGGACATTGAATATTTTTTTTCCTAAGTAGGGACAGGGTCTCATCACATTGCTTAGGCTAGTCTTAAACTCCTGGTCTCCAGCAGTCCTCCCACATCAGCCTCCCAAAGTGCTGTGATTACAGGCTACCCACCACACACACACACACACACACACACACACACACACACACACAGTTTTTTAAAGAGATGGAGTCTTGCTATGTTGCACGCACACACACACACAGTTTTTTAAAGAGATAGAGTCTTGCTATGTTGCTCAGGCTGGGCTCAAACTCCTAGGCTGAAGCGATCCTCTCACCTCACCCTCCTGAGCAGCTAAGAAGACAGGCATGTGCCACCACACCCAGCTTGGACATTTTAGTTTGTTCTGATTTGACGTACAAAATCCATCTTGGTGTAGGAATTCAGAATCATTCTAGGAGTTTCTATTAAAAATTACAGGGAGCAAAAGAATTTTTTCATGGTTACTAGGTATGATGTTCCTTTGTTCCATTAACTTTATCTGGTGAAGATAAACCCTGAAACCAGCCTAGCAAGTAGATTCATTTCCCAGAAGCTTTTAAAAAGTAACTCTGGAGCAAAATGAAACTGAGTTGTGAGTTTAATGAAAATCAGGCAGAATGCCTGAAAAAAGTCCAAGTGAGCCTATTTCTTCCTCTTCCTTCTTGTTTTTCAAGGAAGGATACCTATCTGAGATAATTTGGAGGGCATTTTTTATAGACTAAGGTTTCTGTTCTCTTAACCTAGAGACACAGAGAAAGTTAAAGATGGAAGGTACAAGGAGCAGAGTTCAAACTTCATGACACCTGTCTTAGTGATGGTTCCTCCCTCCTCATCCTCACTTTCTCTGAAATAGACTCTGTATTTTATTGTGACTAATTTTATTAATGTCTGCTTAGTTTCATATTATCTTCTGAAACTTTATAGCAACAAGTGGAAATAGGGAGTAAAAAAATCTGTCATCATTTATTAAAAGGAAAAATAAAAGATGAAGAAGAAAAATGAAAACTTAGAGCAATGTGTAAATTGCAGCTAATAGTAGGCAAAGTTTGTTAGGCATGAAATGCCAGTTCTCTCAATCTTTCCTTTCAGTATTGATTCCTTCTTTACAAATTGTAGTTTAAAAAAAAAAATCAGTCATCACAAAGTTCTCTGTGATCTACAAGCAGCAGCTAGGCATGCTAAAGGATTTTCGTCTTGTACGGCAGGCATCTCTGTGGGCAGTGGGGGTGGTGGGGTGTGAGCAGTTGGTGGGGTTCCGGGCTCCTCTGGTTTCAAATGTGTGCCCTTCCCTGTGCTTGTTTTTCCACCTGGTAAACTACCTAGGGATTAGCAGCTTCTTCAGCTCTCTTACGTGTTTTTGTTATTGATCCTACGAGAATTCTTCAGGTTCTTTACTGCCATTTTGAGATTTTTGTCCTTTTGTGTTTTTCAAGTACTTCCAGTTCTGTATTTTTGTGCATATTTAGCTAGAGCCATGCTGTTTTCCATGTCTGTTGAAACAAAACAAATCTTGTACGTGTGCTGTCAGCTATTTTTCAGAAAGCAACCCTGAGGTTTTACACTTCTGTTTTTAAGACTCATGTTGTTCTACAGCATGCAGAGTAAACTTTGTTTTCTGAAGCTTTTTGGGTTTTTGTCAGCCAGATAAATGGAAGACTATTTTAGTCGTAATTTGAGGTATAACAGGATTATAATTATCTTAAAATTATTAGGCTAAAGAGTTAATTGTATTTACTTAAAAACTATTTTTTTATACTTTAAAACAATACTTTGTCTTGTTTGGGAATATTCTGTTAACTGCTTTTCACTACATTAAATCTTTGGCCTCTTTTCAGTATGAACATTTTCCACAAAATAGCTCTAAATGCAATTTTCTTCCTGCTGAGCCTTTTCCGTCATATAGCACACTTGTAGTATGATGTCTCAATCTGCATTTGTATGCCATGACCAAGTGGTGGTCTTTGAGATGTCCTGGTAAATAAGAAAGGAGGACCCTATGCATGTGTGATGGCAGTGGGGAGTGATAATTTGGAAAAGCTTCATCTATGTTTGTTCCTTTATACTGCTTTTTTTTTCTTTTATTGCATTTTAGGTTTTGGGGTACATGTGAAGAACATGCAAGATTGTTGCATAGGTACACACATGGCAGTGTGATGTGCTGCCTTCCTCCCCTTCACCTGTATCTGGCATTTCTCCCCATGCTCTCTCTCCCCACCTCCCCACCCCCGTCCCTCCCCCATTTTCCCCCAACGGACCCCAGTGTGTAGTGCTCCCCTCCCTGTGTCCATGTGTTCTCACTGTTCAACACCTATGAGTGAGAACATACAGTGTTTGATTTTCTGCTCTTGTGTCAGTTTGCTGAGAATGATGGTTTCCAGGTTCATCCGTGTCCCTACAAAGGACACGAACTCATCATTTTTAATGGCTGCATAGTATTCCATGGTGTATATGTACCACATTTTCCCTGTCCAGTCTATCATTGATGGGCATTTGGGTTGGTTCCAGGTCTTTCCTATTGTAAACAGTGCTGCAATGAACATTCGTGTGCATGTGTCCTTATAGTAGAACGATTTATAATCCTTTGGATATATACCCAGTAATGGGATTGCTGGGTCAAATGGAATTTCTATTTCTAGGTCCTTAAGGAATTGCCACACTGTC